CACAGTAATCGTATCAGTAGTAGTAGCAGTAAGAGGAATCTGAGTAGTAGCAGTAGCAGTAGTTTTACTAATAGTAGCAGTAGTAGTAGTAATAGTAGTAGTAGTCGTAGTCGTAGTAGTAGTGTAGCGGTGGTAGTGGCAATGTTTCTAGGAGTGTGATTTATGCGTTGTAATCGTAGTACTGGTAGTAGTAGTGGTAGTTGGCGTCGTAGTTGTAGTAGCCGTAGTGGTAGCCGCAGCTGTAGTTTAATAGTAGCCCCCGCACGAGTAGCCGTATTATTTGTAGTAGTAGGCGTAGCAGCAGTCGTGGTGCAAGTAAGTGTAGTGGCAGCCGTGGTCGTATTAACAGTATCAGTAGCTGTTCCAACAGCAGCAGTTGTTGCATTCGTAGTACCAGTCGTAGCAGTAGTAACAGCAGCATTCGTACTATTAGTGGCAGTGGCAGTCGTAGTAGTAGTAGTAGTAGTAGTAGTAGTAGTAGTAGTAGTAGCCGTAGTAGTAGCAGGAGTAGTAGCAGTAGTAGCCGTGGCCGTGGTCGCACTCGTGGTCGTAGAAGTAATAGTAATAGTACTGGTAGTCGTAGTAGTAGTAACATTCACGGTTGTAGTAATTCTCTTGGTAGTAGAAGTCGTAGTCAAGTGGTAGTGGTAGTGGTAGTGGTAGTGGTAGTGGTAGTAATACAGTCCAGCGGTCGTGGCAGTGATTGTAGAAGTGGTAGTTGTAGAAGTAGTAGTAGTAGTAGTAGTAGTAGTAGTAGTAGTAGTAGTAGTAGTAGTAGTAGTAGTAGTATTAGTGGTCGTAGTAGTAGTAGTGGTAGCAGTAGTAGTAGTAGTAGTAGTAGTAGTAGTAGTGGTAGTAGTAGTAGTGACAGTCACAGTGGTACTCGTAGTAGTACTAGCCTTTGCAAAAGCAGTCGCAGCAGCAGTAGCAGTAGTAGTAGTAGTAGTAGTACTAGGAGTAGTAGTAGTAGTAGTAGTAATAGTAGTAGTAGTAGTAGTAGTAGTAGTAGTAGTAGTAGTAGTGGTAGTGGTAGTGGTAGTGGTAGTGGTCGTAGTAGTAGTAGTAGTAGTAGTAGTATTAGTAGTAGTAGCCGTATTAGTAGTAGCAGTCGTAGTCGTAGTAATAGTAGTAACAGTACTAGTAATAGCAGTGATAGTAGTACGACTAGCAGTAGTAGTAGTAGTGGTAGTAGTAGTAGCCGTAGTTGTGATACTCGTTGTAGCAGTCGTAGTCGGTGTAGCGGTGGTGGTAGTAGTAGTAGCCGTAGTAGCAGTAGTACGGGTAGTACGAGTAGTCGTTGTCGTGGCCGTAGCCGCAGTGGTAGTAGCCGTGGTAGGTGTAGTAGTAGCAGTATCAGAAGCAGTAGTAGTCGTAATATCAGTACGTGTAGAAGATGTAGTAATATTACGGGTAGCAGCGCTTGCAGTAGCAGTGGCACTTCCAGTAGTAGTTGTAGTAGTTGAAGCGGTGGTAGTCGTAGTAGTAGCAGTTGTAGTACTAGCAGTAGTCATAGTAGCCTGAGTGGTAGCAGTAGTCGTAGTATTATTATTAGTAGAAGTAGTAGTAGCGGTGGTAAGAGTAGAAGTAGTAGTCGTCGCGGCATTGGGGGGGTAGTCGTAATAATTGCGGCCGCGGTCGTAGGTGTAGTAGCAGCATGGGCCTGCTTAGCAGTAGTACCCGGAGAAGCAATAGAAGTATCAATCGGTGTACCAGTAGTAGTCGTAGTAGTAGTAGTAGTAGTAGTAGTCGTAGTAGTAGTAGTAGTAGTAGTAGTTGCACATGTGGTAGTGGTATTCGTAGTAGTAGTCGTCGTCGTAGTAGTAGCAGTAGTAGTAGTAGTAGTAGTAGTAGTAGTGGTGGTGATGGTGGCAATTATGGTGGTCGTAGCAGTTGCGATCGCAGCCGTAGTCGTAGTACTAGCAATAGTTGTAGCAGAAGGGGCAGCAGTATTAGAAGGAGTAGCAGTATTAGTGGTAGTCGGAGCAGAAGGGGCAGCAGTATTAGAAGTAGTAGCTGTCGTAGAAGTAGAAGTAGCAGAGATTGTCGTAGTCGATAGAAGTAGAGGTAGAAGTAGAGGGAGAAGTGTAAGTACTTGTCGTAGTGGTAATTGCCTCAGGAGTAGAAGTAGAAGTAGAAGTAGAAGTGGTAGTGTTACAGGTAGTGGTAGTGGTCGTGGTAGCGAATATTCGGGTAGCTCGTTGTAGTAGTGACAGCGGTAGCTGTAGTAGCCGTGGTAGTCGCAGTCGTAGCAGTATGACTAGTGTTATTCTTAGTGGTAGTCGTAGCACCAGTAGTAGTAGTAGTCGTTAGAAGTAGTCAACGTAGTAGTGGTAGTGGTAGTAGGAGGAGGAGGAGGATTAGCAGCATCATCAGCTGCAGTGGCATGTGTACGGGTACTATTATCAATATCAAAGGACTGGTCGTACCTAGCACCTGGTACCTAGTGCGTAGTATTTTACCCCAGTACTTAGCACCACTACCTGTAGCTGTCGTAGCTGTAATTGTGAAAGTACGAGCTGGTTTAGTTTAGACACAGCGGGTGCATTCGTAGTAGTAGCCGCCGTCGTCGTAACCGTATCAATCGTAATAGTAGTAGTGGTCGTAGTAGTACACGTTGGAATCGAAGTAGTAGCAGTAGTAGTAGTAGTAGTAGTAGGAATCGTCGTCGTCGTAGTAGTAGTAGTAGCAGTAGAAGTAGTAGAAGTAGTAGTAGTAGTAGTAGTAGTAGTAGTAGTAGTAGTAGTAGTAGTAGTAGTAGTAGTAGTAGTAGTAGTACTAGTAGTAGTACTAGTAGTAGTAGTAGTAGTCGTCGTCGTCGTAGTATCTCTAGTAGTAGTAGTAGTAGTAGTAGTAGTAGTAGTAGTAGTAGTCGCAGTAGCACTGGTAGCTGGAGCCCTCGTAGTAAAAGTAGTAGTAGTAGCAGTAGTAGTAGTAGTAGTAGTAGCAGTGGTATTCGTAGTAGTAGTCGTAGTAGTAGTGGTAGTAGTAGTAGTAGAACTAATGGTAGTGGTCGGCATAGTAGTAGTGGTAGTGGTAGTCGTAGTAGTCGCAGTAGTAGCTGTCGTAGTAGTCGTAATTGCATTAGTAGTTTCTGTTTTACTACAGGTAGACGTAGTAGTAGTAGTAGTAGTAGTAGTACTAGTCGTAGTAGTAGTAGTTGTAGTAGTAGTAGTAGTAGAAGTAGTAGCAGTAGTAGCACTTGTAGTCGTAGTAGTAGTACGAGTAGGCTCAGCAGCAGGAGTAGCACTAGCAATCGTAGTAGTAGTAGTAGTAGTAGTAGTCGTCGTAGTAGTAGTGGTAGGAATAATAGTAGTAGCAGTGGTAGTGAAAGCAAACCTATAAGTAAGTGTCGTAGTCGTAACTGCAGTAGAAGTAGGAGTAAAAGTAGCGGTGGTAGTGTTACTGGTTGTGGTAGCGATTGTCCGGGCAACTCGTTACAGTAATGGCAATGGTATTTTTAGTAGCCGTGGTAGTCGCCGTCGTAGCAGTATGAGTAGTGGTAGTACGAGTGGCAGTCGTGATAGTAATAGTAGGAGTAGTCATCGTAAGTAGTAGTAGTAGTAGTAGTAGTAGTAGTTGTTGTTGTAGTTGTAGTTGTAGTAGTAGTAGTAGTAGTAGTAGTAGTAGTAGTAGTAGTAGTAGTAGAAGTAGTAGTAGTAGTAGTAGTAGTAGTAGCAGTAGTATTCCTCGTAGTAGTAGTAGTAGTAGTAGTAGTAGCAGTAACAGTAGTAGTAGTAGTAGTAGTAGTAGTAGTAGTAGTAGTAGTAGTAGTAGCAGTCAGTCATAGTAGTAGTGGTCGTCGTAGCAGTAGCAGTAGTGGCTGTCACAATAGTAGTCGTAGTAGTAGTAATAGTAGTAGTAGTAGTAGTAGTAGCAGTCGAAGTAGTACTGGTAATAGTTGCATTCGTAGTTGCTGTTTCGATGGGCGTAGTAGTAATAGTAGCACTTGGTGTCGTAGTAGTAGTGGTAGTAGTAGTAGTAGTAGTTGTAGTAGTAGTAGTAGTACTAGTAGTAATTGTAGTAGTAGTAGTAGTAGTAGTAGTAGTAGTAGTAGTAGTAGTAGTAGTAGTAGTAGTAGTAGTAGTAGTAGTAGTAGTAGTAGTAGTAGTAGTAGTAGTAGTAGTAGTAGTAGTAGTAGTAGTAGTAGTAGTCGTAGTAGTCGTAGTAGTAGTAGTAGTAGTAGTAGTCGTAGTAGTAGTAGTAGTAGTAGTAGTAGTAGTAGTAGTAGTAGTAGTAGTAGTAGTAGTAGTGGTAGTGGTAGTGGTAGTGGTAGTGGTAGTGGTAGTGGTAGTAGTAGTAGTAGTAGTAGTAGTAGTAGTAGTAGTAGGAGTAGGAGTAGGAGTAGTAGTCGGAGTAGTAATAGCCCTCCCACCCATCCATGTCTGTTTCCCCTTTTTTTTGTGCTACCCGCGGACCCGTGTCATGGCGGACCGGGAATTCGAACAAAGGCTTCATCGGTTTGTGTGCCATCGGGAAGAGGGAGCTGCGTGCATTGGAGCATGAGGTTGCGGATGGCCTGGCTACGTGCGAGGAGGTGGTGGGTAAGCAGGATGGTCGGCAGGAGGAACAGGGGGAGAATGAGGAGTGAGGAGGACGAGGCCGAACAGCAGCAGCAGAAGCTGGAGTGAAAGGAGCGGGAGGAGCACGAGGGCCACGAAGAGAACCAGGGGAAAGTGGGGGACGGGAGAGGAAGGGGGCGAAAACGATAACGATAAGGCAGGACTCGGATCCATGAATGTGGTACGCGCTGCGGCGCGACCGCCCTTCTGAACGACGGGAGCACCATTTGAAGAATCGGGGGCGTTCCCATTGGGGAACAAATCAGGCGATACCACACTGTGAATTCCTGTGTGTCCCACATGTATTGAGAGGGCGGGGCAGCTTCCACACACAGTCAGGGGAGAAGGGAGCGTAGTGTTCAGATTGAGAAGCTGTTGAGGGGTGGGTGAGGTCTAGGAGAGCAAGAAGCGACGGAGTCCCCTTCGTCCGCGTTCGGCCAGGGACTTTTTCAAGCGGCACAAGTATTTCGGGCTGAAGGACGAGCAGGTCGTCTTTTTTGAGCAAGGCGTCATGCCATGCATGGCAGAGGACGCGACAGCGCCCGTTATTCGAAAACATTTCTTTGCACATTTAACACTCGGTCTGCCAGCTTTGTAAGGCGTGTTTTCGGGTTCGGGGTGTGAGCAGCTGTCGTTGTTTTAATGTGCTGTTCCTCTCGAAGTCGTTACGGGACGCACTTGCCATAACCTTGCGCTTGAGTCAAACAGCGTTTGAGGTGTGTGCGTGTGTGTTTATATTGGCTTGACGCTTCGACCCCAGAGCCCAGGATTGCCCCCCACGCCGGTCCGAGTCTGAAGGGTGGACGGCCTGCGTTCTCTTGCACTGCCCGCTCCCCAGGCGATTCCTCCTCGCAAGCTCCTGTGGACCAGGCGTCCTGGACAGTTCGCGAAGCTTGAGCCATTGCTGACGTAAGGTGGACCAGCAGCAGTAGCAGCAGGGATGGAAGGAGCAATCATGGACGCAGGGGAGAAAATACGAAGTGTGAGGATGAGCGCACGGAGGTTGTTATGCGTGCCTGACCGTTCCGGTTAATACGAATACTCCCGTTCTTGCTGCACCCACTCGTTGCCCCGCCCCTCTCGACAACTACACAATATGAATACTTCTCTCCTCTCTCCCCGGCCCCCCTCCGCGTACTTTTTTTTACACCGGATTCCTGGGACACGGTTTTCGCTAGGCTTTTTTCCACATGCTGCTCTCGCTCATTTTCGGGCTACCGTTCGTTCCGAATCGTGCTCCCGCTGCAGCGTTGGCCTCATTTCCGCGCTTCCGCTCGTTCCGAATCGTGCTCCCGCTGCAGCGCTGGCGTTTTTACTTCCAGCGCGATGCTACAGCATATTTTTCGGTCCTTCCAAATAGGCCCCAAAATCTAGAAAATGGGCCCCCGGAAGAACCATCGGAAGTGATTACACATTCGGTGTCGATTGGTTGATTTTTTGAGCCCCAGAAGCACCCCCCCACGTCGCCACGCCATGCTAGGTCAGGCTACGCGTCCTCCGAATCGCGCTCCCGCTGCAGCGCTGGCCTCATTTCCGCGCTTCGCTCGTTCCGAATCGTGCTCCCGCTGCAGCGCTGTGCCACGGCATATGTTTCGGTCCTTCCAAATGGGCCCCAAAATCTAGAAGATGGCCCCCCGGAAGAACCATCGGAAAAGATTCCACATTCGGTGCCGATTCGCTGATTTTTCGTGCCGCAGAAGGCCTTTGGGACGTCGCCACGCCATGCTATGTCAGACTACGCGTTGATCTTCAACACCGTGCTATGCCATGTAATGCTATGCCCTGCTACGACATCCGACTGTGCGAATAGAGAGGAGATCTACGCCATGGTAAGGGATGGGAGGGAGGTGTAGGACGTCAGATATGACGCGAGCGCACCTAGCTTCTCCCCTCCCCCTCTCCCCTTCCTCTCCTATCATACCTCCTTTTCTGCCCCTGTGAAGGGCCTGCGCCGTCCAGACACAGCGGACTCACGAGAACTCCCTCCTGGGATTTTGCGCAGAAGCTCCCGGCACTGGACGTGCACAAATGCAAACCATTCCACGTGTCTTGGCCCTCGGTGCGAAAGTCGGCGTTCCCGTGCCGAACGTGTTCTGCAGTTGTTACTTGCAAAAGATCCACCCCTTCAGCTGTGCAAACACCCTTCCCTCCCTCATCTCTTTCTCCTCCCTTACCCCATCTAGCTCTGCCTCCTCCCTTCCCCTCCGCTCCTCCACTCCTCGCCCTTCCTTTCGTTTATTCCTTCCCTCCTTTCTCACTTCTCCTGACCCTCATGCGCCCTCTTCTGTTCCCATCCCCCTCCTTAGCCATTATCCTTATCATCCTTGCCGTCCTTCTCCTTATCACCCCTGCTTTTTTTTCGCAGACTCCTCCTAATCATGCTCCTTCTTACTCTTCCCATCCCTCTTTTTATCATTCGCCCTGCGTTCATGCTCTCCCTTCCTCCGTAGCGAGTATGCAGCACGAATCGCGCCGACGCAAGGATGGGAAGATGCTCATGGAGACGAAGGGCAAGATTGCCGTGTCCCCGGACGCTGGGGAGGGGCGCAGAAAACGGCAGGGAAGGAGAAAGGGGGACGGGAAGCGAGGGGAGGGGGGAAGGAATGAGGGAGGGGAGGGAGTTGGCGAAAAAGGAGCGGGAGCAGAAGAGAAGCGGTGGAGGGAGAATGGGAAGAGGGGTGCGAAGGGGGGGAGGGAGGGCAGGGGAGGGGGGCGGGAGGGGGGATGGGGAGGGCGAAGGGGAGGAGGGAGGGAGGGGAGGGGGTACACAGAAGAGGGGTGAGGGGTATCGGAGAAAAGGCATGGAGAAGGAGACGGGGAACGTGGACAGGAAGGGGATAGATGGGAGGGGAAGGCGGAGGGGTTGATGGGGAACGGTGGACTGGGATGGATGGGAGGGGAAGGCGAATGGGGAGAGGGATTCCAGGAGGGGATAACAAGGGGATGCACAGAGAAGGGAGAGGAGTGGACGGCAAGCGGGAGTGGATGTGAGGGGAAGGGGAGGAGGGGTAGAGAAGCAGTGGGCGCAGAGATCGCGTCTTCGCACCAGTCAGCCTTCAGCTCTGGTTTAGCTGCCTGTCCGGAGATCATTCCGCAATTCTTTGTCCGAGCTGCGCCATCCTCGAAGCTACCCGTCTTGAAGAGTCTCTAAAGGAGGAGGAGGAGGAGGAGGAGAAGGAGGAGGAGCAACACATCATAATGGAACGCTGCACCAGCAGGAGCAGAAGGCGTTGCAGCAGGAGGAGAAATAACTTGAGGAGGTGGTGGAGGAGAAGCCGCAGGACAATCGACAGAAGGAGCAGGACGAGTTGGAGGAGCATGGGCAGGAGCAGGGGCGGCAGGCGGTTCGGAAGAGTCGATGCTGTCACCTCCATGGGACGCGACTCAATCTGTACTTCGCGCATTGCGCAACCCACCACTAAACCAAGAAAGCGGTCGCGCAACGCAGCGGCGCTGACGTCTGCATCAGTTGCTAGCCAGAGCTGGCCAGTTTTATTCTGCGCGAGCAAAGATTCTTCACGCTTCGCGTATCCCAACTTGCTGTATTGCAAGCGAGCTGCCCCCTTCAGGGGCTGGGTGCATGGATGTCTCGTGTGGTTTATCCTACGTCTAGTCCTCGCCCTCAGCGGCCACTTGTCAGCGTTGTGTGCGACTTTGGTGGCGCCACTTCCATGCACTAGTTTCCTGGTCAGTGAGTTCTCCCTGGCCTAGCTGGTGTCTGCGATCCTTCGTGATGGTGCTCCTGGCTTCATCCTGGTATCGCTCCCGCGCCATTTTGGCTGCGCCCCAACCTCGGTTGGCTAATTTTGCACGCGCTCGCTCCTGGACCCGTTTCCTGGCAGCTGCAGCCCGCACCACCTCTCGCCTCCGGTCCGCTTAGGTGCCGCTTCGGCCTCCGGTTCGTCGGCGCGTTAGGCAATTAGGTTCGCGCGTGGCCCGCCCGTCCCGTTGACGCCGCCTGCGCTCTCGCTTGCGGCTGCGGCAAAAAATCCCAGCTTGCCTTGTAGCTTTCGCCACCCCTGTGGCCCCTTTTTCCGCATGACACTTGCGAGAGCAGGGCTTGCGCTACTCTTTCGACTCTGTCTGACGGCGCGCGGCTGACCGCGTCGCTCGCGAGCCAGAAAAATATCCCAACTTGCCCGTTCCGAAGCCCTGCCCATGAGAGTTGACGGGGGAACGGGCGAGGGGAATCACATAGTGGAGCAACGCGGGCAAGCCGGATAAGCAGGGAGATCTCTGGGAGCAAGGGGGTGGCCTTGTGGGGCCTCTTCGGGCCATCCCTGGGGCCCACGGGGGTGCGAGGAGGAGAAGGAGCAGCATGCCGCCTCCGGGTGCCCTCGTCGGACGCTCTTGGGGCGCTCCTGGGGCCTCCTTGAAGAGGTCCTTGGGGCCCATCGGCCCTAAGGGGCCCCTTTCGGCCTCTTCCTTCACCCCCCATGCAGGTCACCCCCCATTACCACCCGCCCGGATCTAGGCTTCTTGGGGCCATCTTGAAGGGCGTGGATCAAAGGGATGGGGCCCTCGATTCCCGCCCCTTCCCCCCATTGGCCATCAGTATCATCCCTTGGAGCGCTCTTGGGCGGCTCTTGGGCGCTCTGAGGGCAGTCTGGGGGGCCTCTGAAGCCCCTCCTGGGCTCTCTTGGGCAATCTTGGGGCCATCTTGAGGCCTCACAAGTGCATCGGACGGAAAAAGGCGAGAAGGCACACATTAATGGCCCCTTCTTGTGTGTAAGCGAGTTTGGCCATTTGGGGGGGGACCTGAGGGGGATCCGAAAGCAATTGGAACCGTCATGTGGCCGTTCTCTCTGTGTTCACGGTACGCAGCGCTGGTTCAGCCTGTTGTCGCAGCGCTGGTTCAGCCTTGATGTTGTAGCTTCTGTTCATGTTGATGTTTCTGTTGTTGTCTGGGGCGGTGCCTGCGGGATCCCGAGCTCCAATAACCGCCGCGTGAGCTTTGCGTGGGGACGAGGTTCCATGATCGGGGGCTCGTTCGCGGGGTCGAGAGCGCAGCATGGTGTAGTTAGGCTCCGAAGCCCGTCTGGCGGCAAACGGCTGCAACTGAATTTGCGGAGTCAGCTTTGCCATGCTCTGGCACAGAGGTCTTGCGCAAACTGTGTACTACAACGGTCCCAGAGGCTCTGCAGGCTTGGAGCCATCCTTGCAGTCGGAACAGATTTGCGTTATCTGCGAACCAAGTAACATGGAATGGCGACAGCGACCGCCGTGACTTTGACACATGCAGCGCTTGAGTGCCAAGGGCGGTAACCCGATGACAACGCAATGTGCCCTCTTGATACTCGGTTCGAGGCTGCAGATGTCAGGCAACTCAGGGACGACGTCTGGGCGACCATGCGATGCCCGCATTTCCCCAAGAACGGGATGCTCGGGATTTCGACCAGCGACGTCGGGCACCCGATGGCCTGAGGCCCGCCGGAGTCACTTGGTTCCGCCCGCCCCCGAGGATGGCAATGCGGGGATCTACCCGGCGTTGCGGAGGCACGGGGTGTTGGACACCCTGCAGGCGAAGGGGGTAGAGTATGTGCAGTGTTTCAGGAGACATTTGTCTCCTCATCTTCGCCGTCCATGTCGTCCTCCCCCCTCTCGCTTGCGTTCATTGCTCCTCGTTTTCCTTCCTCCTCATAGTCCTTTTTGAATTACTCCTCAAACTCATCCTGCACCTGATCCTGCTCCTTGATCCGCTACACCTGCATACCCTCTCTCGCTCTCTCTCTCTCTCTCTCTCTTTCTCTCTTCCTTTCTCCATATATATATATATACACTTATATATTTATATATACACATGTACATACATACATATACATATATATATATATATATATATGTATATATATAGATGTCTATCTATATATATATGCACACACAGTAATAAGCCCCTCCCCCCAGAGCCCGGCCCACCTCGATGTCACTTGCGGCAAGTCCCCAGTAGCACCCTCCTAGGGCTCCAAGAGAGCGCCCAGAGGCCCTGAAGACGGCCCAGGACGCCCCAAGTGTATCCGAATAGTGCTCCAAGACTGTCCAAGACGGCCCCCCGACAGCCCTTCACGCCCCCAAGAACGCCCTAGACCGCCCCAAGAGGCCCCCAAGAGGTCCCCAAGAGCCTTGGGGAAGCTCTCGAGAGGCAAATACCATAGAAAAGCCGATGGAGCATACATGATTTGGGCGTTCTCGCATTTTCGCCTCCGATGCGTTCCGAGGCTTGCGCATGCTTCCTACGAGAGCCCCACGATGCCCCCAGGAGGCGTCCCAAGCGGCCCGAAGGGGCTCCAAGAGGCCACGAGAGGTCCCCATGACGCCAGAAGATGCACCGCCAAGGCTCAGAAGACGCTCCGAAGAGGCCCCGAAGAGCCCCCAAGTCCCGGCCCAGAGGTCCACAAAGGCTCCCCAAACCTCAAAAAGCGCCCAAGAGGCCCCGTAAGAGACCCTCAAGAGCCCTCAAGTGGCCGAGACGTCCCCAAGATGTTCCAGGACGGCTTTGAAGGCACCTCGAAGACGCACCCGGGAGACTGCCACGCTCCCTTCTCCCTGATCCCATTCTCCTCCTCCCTCTTCCCCGCTGCGTCCTGTTCCCCCTTCCCTCCTCATCTCTCATTCACCCCTTCCCTCGAATGCTTTTTGTCCTGCAAGTTCGACCCCCCCCCCCCGTTTCCTCTTGTCCCAGGCTTCGGCGTGCCCCAGAATGCGTTTCCGTCTCCCCCATCCCCCGCTGTCAGTTCTCCCCGCTCTTGGTTCTCTTCCGTCTCCAGTTCTACATCCTTCTCTTTCCTCTCCTCCTCCGTTTTCCCCGCTGCGTCCTTTCTCCCCCTTCTCTCCTCATCGTCTCTCCTGCACTCCTTCCCTCCGCCTCCCTCCCCGAGCATCGTGTCTCACGAAGTGGTCGGATGCCCAGCTTGAAGAGGAATGACCCCCCCCTCAAATCTATGTTGTTTCAAGTTCGACCACGCCCCTCCGTTTCCCCCCTGTGCTGCCGTCGTCGCCGTTGCTGCCATCGTCGTGTTTCTTCTCGCCGCTTCCCGAGCTTCCCCCGGCCGCCTCGGCCGCCCAAAACGCCCTCCGCGGAGCACGGATAAGCGACGAGAGTGACGCAACACGGCCAAAGATGCCCCGAGATGGCCGCCCCACGGTCGAAGAGGCTCCCAAGACGACTCCAAGATGCTGCCCAAGAGCGCCCCCTGATGGCCAAAATTGCAAAGTTGTCGCATCCCTTAAGGAAGACATAAACGGTTGGCAGATTCGCTTCTTGAATCTTCTCGCCGCCCACGACGGCCCCAGATCCGCAGAATCGCCCCAAGACGGCCCAAGAAGCCTGCAGGAGGGCCCCAGGAGGGCCCCAGGACGGCCCCAGAGAGCCCTGCCGAATTAAGAGGTGCCCAAGACGGCCCAAGAAGGCCCCAAGAGAGGCCCGAGAGGGGGGACCCGAACTCGAATTGCAAGCCCTCCGTTCCAAGTGGACCACCGAGGCCGCCAGCAGGCCGCCAAGAGGCTTCCAAGGGCCTCAGCAGAGGCCCCACGAGGCCCCCGCACGACTTCCAAGAGGCCCCGAAAAGCTTCAAAACTCCCTCCATGAGGCGCCCGAGAAGCACGCCAAGAGACCCTTGATTATACAGGTATCCAGGAGGCCTCTGGCCCAAAATTCAGGCACGGTGGCGGTACCGCAGGCCATAGATGAGCAAACATTTGGCCTGGCGACGGACCCATCCCTATGCAGTTACGTGTAGCGCAGGGCGCCGTTCTCTCTCTCTCTCTCTCTCTTTTTTGTTCTCTCTCTCTCTCTCTCTCTCTTTCTCTCTTTGCATAGATTACGCGCCGCGGGACTGAGCTGATAGCGGGCTGCTGCGGAGCAAGCGTGCACCGGCGCGCTGAACTCCGTATGGGGCACGATCGCATGAAAGGTGTGCCGAATAATCTAGGTACCCTCGTATGAATCCGCCCACTGAGGCCGCAGGTGGAGCCCCTTCTAGAGCACGACTCGTGTTAGGCAAGTGCCAACATGGGCGGGGGGACGCCATGCGAAGTCGCCCATTGGTGCCATAGGTGGAGCGCGTTCCAGAGCACCATTCGCGTGAAGAGTGTGCCGACATGGGCGGAGGGACCATTCGCAAACCTTGTCTCTGGGGCTCTGGGTGGTGTTTCCTGTGGGGCGCGTTCCGCGTGAGGGGTGTGCCGCAATGGTCGTGGGTGGGGGGGACGCTATGCAAACCTTGCCTCTGGGGCCGTAGATGGAGCTCCTTGCAGGGCACGATCCGTGTGCGAGGTGTGCCGACGTGAGTGAGGCGACGTTATTCGAAGTTTCATTTTCTAAGTGCTGTTACTTGCGAGGAAGCGCTATCCGCGTGAGGGTTGTGCCGCCATGCAATGGGGCCGTAGGTGGAGTTTCCTATGGGACACGATCTCTGTGAGGGGTGTGCCGAGATAGGTAGGGGGCCGTAAGTGGAGCCCCTGAGGACATGATCCGTGCGAAGAATGTGCCGAAATTGGCGGGGAAACGCCATTCAGATTTGTATGCCCACGGTAGCGCAGGTGTTCCCATGTGGTGATCGTGGTGGGATGGCGTGCGTACCCATCCGTTGATTGAAGTGACGCTGGCTTTGCCTTGGCTAGAACATTAGCGTGCGAAGCGCTCGCGTTGTTGAAGTGTGTGTATGCTTGTGTATCTATATAGGTGTGTGTGTGTGCGTGCGCGTGTGTGTGCGTGTGTGTGTGAATGTGTGCTTGTGCGTGTCCTGCTGCGTGGGTGCCTCTTCTCTCTCTATATATGTGTAAACGCATGCTTCCCTCATTCCGGCGGCGTTTGTATGTCGAAGCGCTCCGTTGCAATTGGCCATGGCAACCCTAGCTAGCCCATGCTGTGCCCGCAGCGTGTCGAAATTGCCTCCGCTTTTCGCTGGAGTCTCTACAGATGGATTCAGATCGTGAGTTCTGATCCGCAGGATGACTGGCATTTGATCTGCAGGAAGCTGCAGTGTCAACCAGCAATTACTGCAGCGGCAGTGCAGACCGTACCCATGGTGGGCATGAGAGCAGAGGAGGTCGAGGAGGAGGACCAGGTCGAGGAGGACCAGGGGAAGGCCGAAGAAGAAGAGGAGTGAGGAGAAGAGGGCGAGCAGGCGAGCAGGATCCCGAAGAGTGAGTGTCATTATCTAGATAAGTTTGCTGTTTGTCCTTCTCCATCTTCACCCTCGCCCGTAAGTGGATGAGGGGGAGACCGCGGTGACATATCCTGGCAAAGAATAACAAGGTGAGCAGGAGAAGGAAAAGGAAGAGGAGTAGTGCGCTTCCAGGCTGCGCGCCACAGCTCAACATAACCAGCACGTTATAATAACAGCCGTTTTGGTTTCGGAATGGGTTCTCGGTTCCTCGGTTTGTTCCTCGCGCGTTCCTCAGAAGTCAAGGCGCCTTTGGGACCAACAATGGGATCCACTCCCTACTCAAAAGACGCTTAGTTTGGCAGCAAACAAAACGGCTCCAGTGTAGACAACATCCTCGTCCGCGTCGCGGACCCCGTTTGGTATGGCTTCCAAAAGGAGGCTGGCGCTGACGTGGTGGCCAAGACGATCCCGAAGAGGAACTGGCAGGAGGCCGTTGGCGTTGTGACGCTGAAAGATGGCGCGCCAGGCGTGATCGAGTACAGCGAAATTGGCGAGGTGCGGGCGCAGGAGCAGCTTGATGGTCCTGTGCTCCTCTTCTTGCCACGCGAACGGCGTAGGTGTTGCCCCAGGACCTGCAGGGCAGGCAGAGACTGAGAGAAGCACGACTTGGCACTGAGACCTGGAGAGGCCCAGAAAGCGAAGAGACTGAAGCCGTCATCGCGATTATGAGTTTCACCAAACATCCGCATCCATCCTAGCGTGGACGCACTGCATACGTCACACCCGTATTCAAGGCTGGAACGGCTTCGCATTTTTACACCGCGGACGGAGCACAGCGACACGACAAGTCCGACGAGCGACAGACGACCGACGAACAGCAGGGCGGGACGGGAGAGGGAACGAGGGGGGGGAGGAGCAGGGGAAGCGAGGGAAAGCGCGCAACCGCGCGCACTCAGCCGCCGCCAGCCGCAGGCAGCGCGCCGTGCGCGCGCTCCTGCACCACCACTGGGCCTGGCCCGGGAGGGAGGGCAGCCTCCAGAGCTGCGCGGCCGCTGCCGACCCCAGCCCGCAGTCACGGCCCCGCTGCCGGAGCCGGCGGCCCCGGGTCTCAGTCGCTCCACCTCCGCAGGAAGAGCAGCGCGATCTCCGTGCCGTGGCCAGGGGCCACGACCTCCGCAGGGGGCGCCCGGGGAGGCAGGGGGAAACGGCGCCGCCCCCCCCCCCCTCGACCTCAACTGGGGGCGCCCCGGGAGGGAGGGCCTCGACCCGCATGCACGACCTCCAGCTCTGGAGCCTCTACCTCAACCGGGGGCGCCCCGGGAGGGATGGAAGCCGGCGGCGCGTCCTGGGCCGCCGCCGCCGTCGCCGCCTCCGCGACCTCCACCAGGATGCGCCCGGGAGGAGGGTCGCTGCCTTGGTCGCGGCGCACCTGCGCTTGATGTCGAAAGTGCCGCTGTCCAGAGCGCCGCCGGCCAGGGGCCACAGTTCCAGGCCGGCAGTCAGCCTTTCTGCACGAACGAAATGGGCATGGAAAGAATGGGTACAATGCCCAACAGCAGTTCTGGTTCATTTTGAACAGGACTCGCTGTCCACGCCGCCGCGGCCTGTGTCCATTTGAGACAGAAGGCCGCCTGCCCAACAGCGGCAGCTGTTGGTTTGGGATAATATTGTTGTTGGGCATTGTACCCATTCTTTCCGTGCCCATTTCGGGCGTCCAAAGCCTTGGCCCGCCTTCGACCGCGGGGTTGTCCGACTGGGAGGCCGCGGTGCGCCGAATCCGCAATCGGACAGCGACCGCTGGTGCCGCGTCGGCGAAGTCCACTCCCTGAGCCGAGGCGATCGGAGGAGCCGCCAGGGCTCCATCGGCCGCGGGGCGCTCTGCGCGAAACCGCAATCCAGCGGCGTGGGCTGCCGCGTGCGGGCCCCTTCAGGCCCGCCGGGCCCTTTGCGCGGTTGGGCCCACGCCTGCCGCGGCCGGGGAAGCGTGACTGGCGTGACCACGACGCCTGCCTCGGTCGGCCGCCCTCGCGGCCGCAGCAACGGGCTCGTCAGCCTTGTCGTCGGTGTCGGTGTCAGCCCAGCGCCCGCGAGGCCTGGCCGACCCATGCCAGCCGAAAGAGCCGGGGGGCCCGTCGGCGGCACGCGGGAAGCTCACTGAGCCCCCGCAGCTGGCCATCGAAGCCCGAACCCGCACCTCGCTCTCCCCGGTCGCCTCGGCCACGCGGGGGGCGCACGCGGGGCCTGCGCTGGCAGCGCCTGCCCCTGCCCCGGGAGCCGCTGGTGGCGCGGCTGCGGGCGTCTGCGGCTCCTCCGCTGATGGAGGCCCCGCGGCGTGGCCGCCGCGCCCTCCGCGCCGGCCGTGGGAGGCCGCGGGCAGGGGCTGCCGCTGCTGCCGCCGCTGCCGCCCGGGCCGGCTCCGGCACCTCCCTCCTCCGACTCCGTGAACGGGCGAAGAACGGTATAAGATAAACTTTTTCGCCGTCGGGGACACCTGCCCCTGGGCGGCTGGAAAGTTTATACCCTTACGGTGGCACCGTAGGGGTATAAACTTTCCAGCCGCCCAGGGGCAGGTGTCCCCGACGGCGAAAAAGTTTATTTTGTACCGTTCTTCGCTCGCTGACTCCGAGCCCTCCTCCGACTCCGACTCCGCGGACTCCCCCCTCGGAGCCCGGCGGCGACGCCGTCTCCACGGCGGGGGCCTCCGCGGCGGCGTCCGCGCGATGGCCTGCTCCTCGCTGCGCGCGCGCCTCCGGGGCCTGCGAGAGCACGAGCGGCCCCTCGGCTAGGGCGGCTCCGCGTGGGCTCCCGATCGCTTCGACGCCGCCCCAGTAATTGCCGGGGGCCGGGGCGACGACGTCGCGGGGAGCCAGGCCCACGCCCAGCCCTCCGGGAGGACCAGGAAGTCCTGCCCTTCCACTGCGCGCGGCCGCCCAATGGGCGTCGGGCCCGCCCATGGGCGCCCAGCCCAGCCCGCAGCCCGCCCGGCCGCTCTATAGCACCCTGAGCCAGAGCGGCTTGAGCCAAAATGGCGACGGAAAGGGTTCGCGCACGTCCGAGCATTTTCGACCGAGACATGTTGAGCAGCTGTGCTGTATTCTCTGGCGCCGGACCTGCCAGACACCGCGCCGTATGGATAGGTGTAGTGGTGTAGTGTACTTGTTGTCTTTTTATCTTCCACGGTTGCGCCCCAAGTTCCAAATTCCGCTTGCTCAGCGGCGTTGCCGCGCGAACCCATCCTCGTGATGAGAAGAGCTGCGGGGCCATGTTGCAACATGATGTGATCGTGGTGTTGAATAGTTTCCGCGACGCATTTGGAGGCATTTTCGGAACCTCACGGGCGACGTTTTGGGACTCGGGGGAGCTTTTTGAGTCTTGTGGGGGGGATGAGCTGTCCTGGGTGAATGCGCTTACCAGCTGGCGCGCTTGAGCATCACATTGAGATTGTGCCGACTGCGACTCTAATCGCGATGTGAACTCAACCACCCCCTAAGAATTTAGTGTGGTTGCGCACCCTTGTGTAGACGGGCTAGGAGAGTTCTACTCGGGTGGGAGAGCCGGCGTGCGGTGAAATTGTGAGTTGTTTTCGAGCACCAGCCGCTGGAAAGGATCCAGTTCTTCCGTGTCCGTTGCAGCAGGCCACCAAACGACAGAGGTTCTTCCTGCTCCGCAGGGCAGGAGGATGAGGAGAGGGTCTGGGGAGGAGTAGTGGGAGAATGGGGGGGAGGCGGGCGAGGAAGAGGGAATCTGGGATCGGGGATGGGATGGAGAGGGGAGGGGGACGTCCCCTTCTGCGCGCTTGTTCTACACCGAACGGGCAATGCAAGAATAGACCTGCGCCAGGAGACAGACGCCTCTGGCAGCCTCAGGTATAACGCTGCCAACATCTGCCTGCAGGCGTACACTCTGGACTTCCTCCGAGGATCGGGGGGTCCGTTTGCACGAGGCGAGGGCTATCACTGGGGCTTCAACGGGGCTTGGAGGACTGCGATGGCGCCCCAGATTTCTTCCACTAACGTCGGGGAGTCTCGGCTCGGCGGCGGGCGCGGGGGGGAAATGAGAAGGGGCGGGACTTCCGAGGCTTCTGAGAAGGTTCTGGACTTCTGAGATGGCTTCTCAGAAGTTCTGTCTGTATTCGAAAGAGGCCAAGGAAACGTCTCAGAAGCCCCCCCGGACTTCTAAAAAGTCCCGCGGCCTTCTGAGAAGGCCGCGGGACTTCTCATTTCCCCCCTGGGCTCGTCGCCTATCGGCCTCGAGACCATCAGGCCGACTCAAGCTGATCTCGGTCGGCAGTGTGCCCCGAATCGGGCTACGATCTCAACTCCGCCCGCCCGCCTCCACGCTGCCGCCCCCCCTTTCCTCCCGTCGCTTCCGCCCCTTCCGCCCCCGTTCCTCCTTCCAATATTTCAGGAGGGAAAGAAACGCACAGACACAATTAATCGTCGATTCCCCAGAAAATATGGGAAACTATGGGAAGTGGGCGGGAAGACAGAAACCCAGAAAATATATGAAAATATGGGGAATCATTTTATTTGTGTGTATTTATTTGTGTGTTTGTGGGCCCCTTCAATCTTACCCTCCCATCGTCCCCTCCCCACCTTGCCGCCCTCCCCTTGCTCCGCTCCCTGCCCCTCGTTCCTCTCGCCAGCATGCCATCCTCATAACATTGCGCCTCCTCGGCCACCCGCTGAGTGGTGAGGAGGCTTGAGGGAGGAGGAACCAGCGGCTCACGCAATCGATCTCACTAGCGATCGCACTATCGATTTCACTGTCGGCCCCACTATCGATCTCACCAGCAATCTTATTCTCGATCCCACTACCGATCCCACAGTCGATCCCACTATCGATGTCACTATCGATGTTACTATCGACCTGACTATCGATCTCACCATCGATCTCATCATCGATCTCACGATCGGTCTCACTATCGACACTATGATCGATCAGACGATCGATCTCACTACGAGACGCCGGCGAGATTCCGACGGGACACCGGCGGGACATCATTATTGATCTCACTGTCAATTTCATTCGATCGATCTCACTATGGATCTCACTATCGATCTCACCATCGATATCACTACCGATCTCACCCGGCGGCGCCCGAGCCAGGAGAGAGTTCATTCCTCTCGCACGCCCACGCAGTTTCGTCTCGCGCGCACGCACGACACGAACACCAAACCGCAACCGATTCCCCCGATTGTTGCTTTCTGGTTCACAGCGATCTCACCTTCGATGTTTCCTCCTCTCTCTCCCTGCGTCTACCCTCCGCCTTCTGCGACGCTTCCCTTATCTCCTTTTCTACGCTCCCCCCCCTGCGCATTCCGTCCCTCCCCGTTCTCATGATCACAGTTCCTTTGTTTCTCTTTCGTATCACTCCTCCTCCACATCCTCTTCCCTCTCATCTTCCTGTGTTGTTGCTTCATATATTTCTATGTGTCTTGTTTTTCCTCCTTCTCCCGCTCTCCTTCACTTCCCTCCCCTCCTGCTTCTCTTCCTTTCCCGATCCCGCTTGTGGTGTACAGTTGCCTCCTCCTTCCACGTTTTCCCTTTCCCCTCATTCATCTCCCTTCCCCGTGAGCCACGGCCTTCCAGATGGCCGAGGCTGTGGCGACAGCGGGCGCTGTCCATGGATTAGTTGTTGGTCTTGTGCCGACGAGGAACAGGACAAGGAGGGGGCAAGAGGAATAACAGGAGGGACGAGAGAGGGAGGGGGAGGAGGGTGACGAAGAGAGAAGCAGCAGCAGCAGCAGCAGCAGCGGCCACGGCGTCGTCGCTGGCTGCGGCAGTTCGAGCAGAGAGATCGGGGAGGATTGAGGACAGGGAGCAGGGCCATGAGACCGAGGAGCGATCAGCAACGGCAGCAGCGGCAGGAGGGTGCCGTGGACGGGACGACGGAGTCGGGGTGGGAGCCCAGGGGGGGAGCGGGGCGGCAGAGGCAGGGGAAGCCCGGAGCAAAAGCCAGGGATGCGTGCGGCGCAGCACCCCGTCCCGAGCGTCCCCCCTGCCTGCTTTGGCCCACGGGGAGCGGCCCCCCCCCCTATGGAGAGCAGCGAGCGCCCTGTGGGCCTGCCCCTCGCGGCGAGGGCCCGCCGTGGTGGTGGGAGCGGCAGGGCCCCGCAGGCCTGCGGGGAGGGGGTGGTCAGGCAGCGCAGAAGGGCGCGCCGTGCGATGTCCGGTGTTCAGTAACAGGAGGAGGAGGAGGAGGAGGAGGAGGAGGAGGAGGAGGAGGAGGAGGAGGAGGAGGAGGAGGAGCAGGAGGAGGGGGAGGAGGAGGAGGGGGAGCAGGAGGAGGGGGAGGAGGTCAGGCAAGAGTACACGCCCTGGGCAGGTGCGGTGCAGCAATCACCGCCCACCAAACCACCCCAACCCAACCCGAAGGCCCCAATTTGCCCTCCATTTCCAGTGGAGGGGGGGGGTCGGGGAGCGTTGAGAAAACACACATGGAGCTCGTACCCCCCCCCAACCCGAAATTCGAGTCTTCGGGTTGGGTTGGGGTGGTCTGGTAGGTAGTCAGACAAGAGTACACGCCCTGGGCAGGTGTGGTGCAGCAGTCTGCACGGCTGGCAGGGAGCCCGTGTGCCCAGAGGCATCGCCATCTCCATCTCCAGAAGCAACCGCCCGCCGCCGGTTTAGCACGCAGTGCTCGCTTGGGTGGCTAGAGCTGCATTTCGCTTTCGCCTTCCACATTCCTAGCAGTTGGAGGCCTCGTATGACAGATGTGCGCGAGGCTGATGCGCGGCGTTTGTCCGATGTAGCCAGCTCTTCTTTGCGATGTGTGTCTGTTTGTGCGATGCATGCTGAACTTTTGAAAATATCCCGCCTTCCATGACTGTAACCGTTGGAGTGTTCAGGCTTCGCTATCGGACGTGCAGATTGAGTCTCAGGCGGAATGCCCAGGGGCCGCCCTATCACACGCCTGGTAACCGTCTGGTCGTGCAACGAGAGGGAGTTAGTCATCAGCAAAGGGATGAACGACTCAGATCACGAGGAGGAGGAGGTCGAGGTGTGAAGAGAAGAAGGGCGGATGGATAAGGAGGATGAGGAGAAAGAGGAGGAGGGGTAGCAGCTGTAGGGCGCAGTATCTTCAAACATGGTCCTCCCATCCTCCCTTCTCTTCCACCTCTCCCTTCCTTAGCATCGATCGTCTACCTTCTCCTCCGACTTTCTTCTGCTGCGGCAGATCTTCTTTCACCCTCTCCTTCTCTCCTCCTGTATTCCCCTCCTCCCTTATCTTCTTCGTCTTCCTCTTCCGTCATCGTATTCCCCCCCGGTCTCGTCTTCCAACTCTGTTTATGTCTCCCCGTCCGCCCCATCCTTCTCATCCGTTTCCTCGGCGCCCCCCTCCGTGTCCTTTCTCCTGTTTCCTCCCCGATCGTTCTACTTCCCTCCTCCTGCCGCCGCCTCGTCTTCCCGCTCCCTCGTCTCCCTCCTCCCCCCCCCCGCCAGCTCTCCTCTTCCGACAGAATTCTCCCCCCCAGGCCTTCCCCATTGTCCTTCCTTTTCCGCCTGCGGTGCAGCAGGATGGCGGCGGCGACGCGCCCTGCGTGCGACTTTTGGGGCTCCGACGGGTGCCCCGTCTCTCCCTCTCCGCCCTTCGTCCCAGCAGGAGGACGCCAGCTGCGCATGCACACCGATCCCGGCCGGGCCGATCCTGGCCCAGGCTGCCATTGGGCACGTCCCACCAACTGGGCGCAGGATCGGACTGGCTAGGATCGGTGTGTGTGTGTGTGTGTGCGGATCGTTGGCACCTCCCGGTTCCCCTCCCACGAGTGAGTCCCGCTCCCTCTTCCCTTCCCCGCTCCCCTTGTGTACCCTCACTGCCGCGATCCTCTCCCCGCTCCCCCATCTGCCGTGAGGAGCGAGCCAGGTGGCGGTGTGTTTCCGCCCGGGTCGCGTGAGTGAGCACGGACATCTTCGGGTCTGGCCCTTTTTTGGGGGGGTGTCACCGCAAAACGCAGCTACGATGCCGCGCGACCCTCCGATGAACCTGAAGATGCGAGCCGACTCCTCCCCAGGGCCTCGGGAACCAGGATTCTGCAGACCAGGAGTTCGACTGATCCCGTCGGAGCGAGCGACGATTGGAAAACTGTTTGGCCCACGGCTGGAGTGTTCTCGGGCTCGCCCGTGCTCTTGTTTGTCGAGTTCCCCCGTGCAGCGGGCCCCGACCTCCCGCCAATGTCTTCCTTTCTTCCGGCACGGGCCGCCCCCGTCGGCGCCGCGCGGCCGCCTGGGGCCGGGCAGGACCCGCGCAGCAGTTCAAGACGGTTTGGCACGTCGCGCGGAAGGACGGCACACGTCTCGCCCTCCTCGGCCCTGCGGCGCACGGCGCCGCCTCCTCGCCGCTCGCGCCACGCGGGGGTGGAGCGAAGCGCCGGTCGCGTCGCTAGCGCTTGCAGGCGTGCGAAATGTCCATGTCGAGGGCAAGCCAATGGAGGCATCGGCGGCCACCCCCAACCAGAGGAAGGGAGAGGAGGCGGAGGATGGAGGAGAGGATGGCTGCCAGTGTCTCAGCTGGCCCTTCTCTGCTCACGGAATCGGGCAAAGTTTCAACGAGGTGGGCTTCCCCAGAAGGAGCTGTCGGAGGCGGAATCGCCGAGCCCGTACCCCGAGAGTCGAAGACTGCCAGGGTCGTCGGGGCTACCGATGCCTGCCATAGCAGAATTGGTGCCATGGCCGTTGCGATCGATTCCACGTGCCTGTCTCCGCAGATTATGTGGTCACTCCTGCCAGTGCTGGCTCGAAGGGGGCACCGCGCTCCTCAGCGCACCCTGGATGTCGCCCGCTGCATGCGTGAGGAGTGTCAGAAGCCGTGGCCGCGTGGCAAATCTGCACGTCTGATGTTCTGAATGTGAGCTGCCCTGGACATGTCTCGCCACCACGCGGGCACTCTCCCGTGCGCAATGCGCTACCTCGCAGACGCACAAATCACTCGGCCTTATCGCCTCCTCTGTCTGCTTTGTGGCAATACAAAAGGACTCCTTTTGAAAGCATCAACAAAAGGATTCCTATCGAAAGCCACTACAAAAGGATTCCTATTGAAAGCCGCTTCAAAACGATTCCTATTCGAAGCCTCTACAACCTCCTCCTCATCATCCTCCTCCTCTTCCTCCTTCCTCTTCCAGCGGAAGGCCACAACTCTTAGGAACACCAGGAGAAGAATCAAACAAACCAGAGAAACTGAAATGCTGGAGGCGGAAACCTTAGAAAAAAGCGTGAAAAAAACAAACAAAACAACATGTTCCACAGAGACTGCGGGGTTTCCCTTCGTGATTATCCCTTCTGACGGTGTTCCCTGGATTTTGTTGTATGGTTTTCCTAAAGTTTTCGCTTCCAGCACTTCGGTTTCTTGGGTGTTTTTGGTTGTTCCAGTGGTTCTCCCAACATTCGTGGTGCTTCCCGCCGTCCACATACGGAATGTATGTGTATCTCGCTTACGCGTCGACGAGGACGAGGATGACGAGGAAGAGGACGCGGACAAGAGAGAGAGAGAGAGAGAAGAGCACAAGGGAACGCTCAAACAGCCAAGCACAACAGCAACGAACAACAGCACCCCCAAACAAATGAACCACAACCCCAAATCGTCCTGAGGCCTTTTAGGTGGACGGAATCCCTCCCCAAAAAACTTTCGATCCCAGCAGGGGGGGAATAGGCAAGGACCCGTACACACACACATATATATATATATATAGATATGTGTGGGTGTGTGGGTGTGTGTTTATTCTTATTCTTATATTTGTATTACCCGGACCCCCCCCTAAACCGGACCCCTCCCCAGGGACGCCCCGGAAGCCCTTTCGGACGTCTCGGCGGCCCCCTGGACGCCCTTGGAAAAGGTCCTCTGGCCCTTCCGGGCCTCCCAGGGCGCCTTGCCAAGCCTTGCGAGCAGATTCAAGGCGATCAGAGGGGTCATCGGAGAGGCGCAAGAGAGACCCAAGACAGCACAAGAGCGCTCCGGGAGGAACCTCGATGGTCTGAAGACGGCCCAAGGGGCCCCCAAGACGCCCCAAGAGGCCGCCAAGAGAGCCCCGAAGAAACTCAAATTGTCCCATTCCTTGCGGGAGATGTGCAGTTTCGGCATCTACGCTTTTTGGTATTCGCAGCGTCCAAGGTGCCCCGATGGGCCCCCAATATCGCCCCAAGACGGCCCAAGGGGCCCCCCAGAGGGTTTGAACACGGCCCAAGAGGGCCCCAAGACTGCCCCAGAGAACCCCGAGACTGCCCACAAGAAGCCCAAGCTGCCCCCAGAAGGCTCCCAAAGAGAGACCCCCGAAAGCCATGGGAGACCCCCAAGAAGGCCACTGGAGGCGCCCAAGCGGGCGCTAGATGGCTTCAGAGACCTTTGGGGGGCCCCAGCTCTTCAAGACGGCCCAGAAAGGCCCCAGGACGGTCCAAGAGGGCCCCAGGACGGCCCAAAAGAGCCCCCAAAACGCCCAGACGGCGTTCTCCTACGAAGTACATCGAGCTGACCCGACGATCTTGGTTCCACGCCTGAGGCTCGAGGTTTACATTCCCGATCGAGAGAGACAGGCAATGGATCTAGATTCGAAGTTCAACGATCGAAGATTACCTGAGTGCCTGGAGCCCTCCAGGCATTCAGGAAGCGACCGAACATCGATTTGTTCGGAGCTACTGCGACTTCTTCGGCATATCATGGGAACGCTCCTTATTTCCTCAAAGGACCTTCGCGCATGAAGAAATCATCATTCTTTGCCCGCTCCTGCGCACAAGCGTGCAAGCGCATCGGGCGAACGCGGTGTCAGCAGGCACTAGGAATAGTAGAAAAATGAACCGTTCGCCCGTCCAGGCCTCGAGGCCCCCCTTGCGGAGGCAAGCGATGATTTATTGCTTTGCCGGGGAAGCGTCCTGAACAAGGCGCCATGACGCGAAGCGCCAATGCAGTTTTGCATAAGTATATCGATAGACATACGCATGTTTATGTACATTTATATTTGTTTATGTACATTTTGATTTGGAGAGGGAGAGAGATAGAGAGAGAGAGAGAGAGACAGAAGGAGAGTGAGAGAGAGAGCGAGAAAAAAGGGACAGAGAGAGAGAGAGTCATATAGACATAGAGACAGAGAAAGGGGCGAACGCGGACTGCAGGTATAGGCGTAGGTGTAAACGGACCCTGGTTCGGTCAGCCCCACTCCAGCCCTGGCCCACGCCATTTTTCCCGCGCCGCCGCCCGCAGCCGCGCGATGCTGACCAATCGAGGAAAACGCAGGCCAGTCGAGACAACGGCGAGTCCAGACAACGGCGGCCCTCCGTGGCATTTGGCCTCCTGGAGGCTTCTCGTCGCCATGGCTGGATCCGCGCAGAGAAAGCGATTCAATATGGGCGCTGGGCGGGGTGTGGGACAGATTTTGGGCGGATTTAGGCCAGGCGGGGTAGCCGCCGTTGTCTGAACTGCCCCCCTCTGGCAACAACGCATCTACATTAGGTATGCCTCGTGTCGCCCCCCCGAAGGATATTCCCACCGTGAACGGCAAGACGCCTGGGATCAAGCTCGAGGGTTTCATCTTCGACGTTTTCGCGGTGGCGAAGGTGTTCCGGACGCTGCAGGCGCCCTTGGAGCTGAAGAGGAAGGGGGGTAAGAGGAGGGGGGGAAGGAGGGATTGCAGGAACATGGGACGAGGTAGAGCCAGAGGGCCATTCTGGCCCTTGGGGGGGGCGCTCCCCACCACCCGCGGAAAGGGGGGCCGGCCCGAGTACGCCGCCGCCACTTGTGATGCGCGTCATCCGGTAGAAAGTGATCATCCGGGAAAGGGCGATCATCCACCAACTGACGTATTACAAGCTGGACGTCCACAACCTCGTCAACGAGACTCCCTTCGGTGGAGACTGCCAGCACGTACGCCGAGGCGATACACTCAAAGAAGCGTGCGAGCAGATGCACACTTTAAGGGAGCGGGCTACCTCATTTGCCGACACGGACTACAACCACACCTCAACGACATCATGACCATCGCCCCGACCGCCTTCATGATGGCCTCCACGGCCGGGCGGGGCGAGCTGCGCAACGTGCAACTCGAGGACGAGCTGCGGAACATGCCGCCCGAGCAAGAGCTCGGTAGCAGGAAACCCAGATACGAAAAGCTCGCCACCAATGTTGGCACCAGGAGCGGCGCGACCGAGCAAACCGGAAGTGGTGATGACGACCTGTAATTAAGGGAGGATGATGATGAAAAAATGACCGGGGGTCGTGTTCACGCGGCGGCGCCGTGGATGATGATTAGAAAAAACCGGCCCCGGGCTGGAAAACTATTTTTTTAATCGTCCCCTCCCCCCCCCGCCGTCCTCGGGCGCGCGCCCCCCCCCGGTGACGATACACCGCACAGTCGAGCCCTGCTTCTGAGCGTTTCCCCCCCGGTGTGGGAAACTATTTTTTCATCGTTCCCCCCTCCTTTTTTTCTTAATCGTCGTCCCACATTATTCGTGCGGCCCCCCAAGACTACGTACGACGGGCCGCGGGGTTACGACAACCACGAGGACTACAGGGACACCCATAGCATGGAACGCGACAAGTTGGCAGCCGACGACTCCGACCTGGACTTCGAGGTCTACGAAGAGAGCGTGCCCTGTAAGCTGCTACAGCCACCAGCAGAGCTACCAGGACCACCAGGGCACTTTCGGGGACAACAAGCTGGAGTACGAGGACCACACGCGCAGCTACGAGGGCAACGGCCAGAGCGATTACCACCACCCAAAGCGACTACCACCACCAGCGGAGCGACCAGCGCCACCAGAGGACCTTCGGGGGCCACAAGCTGAATCACGAGGGCCACACGCGCAGCTACGAGAGCCACCGAACGAGGTTCAAGGCAGGCGTGCCGAGCCACGAGACCTGCCAGCAGAGGCATGAGAGTTACGAGCTGAGCTACGAGGGCCGCGATCTGAGCCACGATAAACAGGGCTTCGAGGGCCACCCAGAAAGCTACTTGGGCCACGACCTGAGCTACGAGGGCAACGATCAGAGCGACTACCACCACCCTGAGCGACTACCACCACCAGCGGAGCGACCAGCGCCACCAGAGGACCTTCGGGGGCCACAAGCTGAATCACGAGGACCACGCGCACAGCGACGAGAGTCACCGGAAAAGCTTCAAGACCCACCCGCCGAGCACGAGGGGCGCAAGCTGAATTACGAGGACCACAGGCGCAGCTACGGGAGCCACCAAAAGTACTACAGGACCCGCCTGCCGTGCTACGAGAACCACCTGCAGAGCAACGAGGGGCATAATCTGAGCAACGAGGACCGCAAGCTGTCTCACGAAAGCCACATACATAATTGCAACAACTACTGGCGGAATCACGAGGACCGCCTGCTGCGCTACGGGGGCCACAAGCTGAGCTACGAAGACCACCGGCTGAGTTGCGGGAGGCACCAGGTTCGCCACAAAGTCCACAGGCACAGCTACAAGAGCTACGAGGACACCTGTTGAGCTTCCAGGACTACAGCCAGACCCTACCCGATCCTCCTGCAGGAAAACCCACAGGAATAGCTACATACCCTACCCGACCCTCCGGCAGTACCCGCTTCCAGGATAGGAGGACTACAGGACAACCTACCCGACCCTCCTGCAGAGCGGCGAGGTCGACGAGCTGAACGGCAAGGACCAGGAACATAATTCCGAGCCCACCAGCTGAACCACGAGGGCCACTACCTGAGTTACGAGGGCCACTACCTGAGCTACGCGGGCCACAAGCAGCACTACGAAAGCTTCCCGCACCACAGGCAGGGCTGCGAGGACCGCCAGCTGACCTACGAGAGCTACGAGGGCCATTTGCTGAGCTACCAGGAGCAGAACCTGAGCGACGCGGACTACAGGAAGATTTACGAGAGCCTCTTGCGTAATTGCTGGGGTGACGAGCCGACTTGCAAGGCCCAGGTGCAGAAATCCCCGAGCCACCAGCGCAGCTACAAGGGCCATTTGCGGAGCCACGGGGGCCACAATTTGAGCTACGCGGGCCACGCGCAAAATGACGAGTGCCTCCCGCAGGGCTACCTGGGCGACGAACTGAACGGCAAGGACGACGAGGGCAACCACATGAGCTATGATAGCCACCAGCAGAAACAGCCGGACTTCCAGAACAAGCCGGTGTACCTGTACACGAAGGAGCACGACAAGGGATGCCAGCCCGCTTCATCGGGCTTAAATGCCAGATGCGCCACAGTGGCCTCGAGGGTACTTTGGACGCGTGGGATACCATCACAGAGCGCTGGGCATTCACAGCGGAATCGGGCTGGGCAGCCTCGGAATGCCAGCCAGGGGTTCGTCGAACGCTTGTTCGATGTAGTCTGCGCTCGGATGGCACAGCAGTTACGGTAAGACCTGCCTATCTGAAGCCGCTGGTTATGTGTTTCTTGTTCCAGAATGCGTTGCCGAATGCCTGGGGCGTACGACGCCCACAGCGCTACGGACAAGGCACGCCGTGTACAACGTGACGCGCAAGGTACGCCGTCCCCAGTACGTACTACTTTCTTTCATCATGATCATGTGAGGTGCCCAGCCGCTCACCTCTCCCCTTCAGTCTCTCTTTGGCCTACCTTGGGATGGAGAATGGACATGGCGGCCTCCTTCCTCTCTCCCCCTTCCGAAACGTAAACTGGGTCGCCCGGAGGTCCGGGGGGGCTCCCGCGCCAACCGCCCGCGGCGCGCCGCTGGGCGCGCGGACCGTCCGCGCGGACATGGGGACATCAGAGGCTGCCGCGAGAGAGCAGCGACAGCAGCAACAGTAGCAGGCGGGTCTGGCTCACGGCATGGGTGGGGATCCGGCCAGCGATGGGAGCAGGAGGTGACTCGGGTAGGCCGGGGTGAGAGTAAGAGCAGGAGGAGTCGGGCGGACGAGAGGGAGGAGAAGCAGCAGCAGCAGCGGCATGATGACGATGCGAAAGATTAGCAGGAAGAGGAGAAACAGTATGATGGCTAGGAAATATGGGTTTTGAACAGCATCAGGAAGCGCACCAGGAGGGTGGTCCTCCTCCGTGATTCGTCTGCGGTTACACTACAGCTGCTTAGTTTGATCATCCCCATTTAGGGGCGACAGCCCCTCGGGGCGCGGGAGGGATGGTCGCATGCGTGGACGGATCATTGCCACTAGCGTCGGCGTCAGGAGAGTGAGGAAACGTAGCGTAACTACGATGGGGAGGAGGGTGATGAAGTAGCAGAAGAAACATAGGGCCACGAACACGAAGGAGGAATGGCAGGAGCGGATGGAGATGATGATCAGCTGTAGCTGGAGGACTTGGGCGTCAATGCGACGCACTATACATACGTGAATGAACAGCAAGAGCAAGGTGCGAATGCACAGTACGAGCTGATGGCGTGGGAGCAGAAGATTTCACTCATAATGACAAGGTTGCCTGGAGGGTGAGGTTGAAGGAAAAGCACGAGTATGGGTATGATGTTGATGTGGGTTCTGGGGTCAAGGGAAAACGGGTGGGGACGGGGGCGCAGGGGAATAAGGACAAGTGGTTGGAGGGCTGGAAGAAATGCAGGAGGATAATCGGGTAAGTTCAGGAGGCCCGTAGCCGTTCTGCGTCAAGGTGTTCCTGCACTGGCTGGGATCGCACCGCCCCACCCCTGCGCAGACCTGCGCGCCGCAACAATCCGACCGAGGCCGCCGCGAGGATGGGCATCCTGAAGGACGTCAAGAACGCGATGACGGACGCACAGAACGAGATGCAGGGCTTGAAGCCAAGGCGGGGCGCGAAGAAGGGCCCTTCGGCTGCACAGATCGAGGCGCGCCGCATCCAAGGCAGCGAGGACGTGGCTCGCTGGGGCCCTTTCGCCCTCTGTTGCCGCCGCCGGGCGCCCGCGCCCCAGGCCCTGCGCGGCGACCTCATCAAGCAGGACCTCCTCGGCTGCCAGACCACGCAGGACTCCGAGCGCAGGCCACGCCGCAAGGGCGAGACCGAGGCCCTGGCCACGCTGCCCGTCGAGCTCGCCGTGCAGCTGCCGGAGGACTACGAGCCGGGCATGCTGGTGTCCATGGACGGCCCGCACGGGCGCATCGAAGCGGCTGGGCCTCCGGACGCGAAGCCGGGCACCACCGTCCGCTTCAGACTCGCCCCCCAGCCCGACTTCCAGGTCGAGGTGCCGCAGGGCGCGCGCGCCGGCACGGAGGTGCGGCTGAAGCGGGCGGACGGCCTGGAGATCTCCGTGCCGGTGCCGAAGGGCCTGAAGCCGGGCGACGTCTTCAACATCGCCCCGCCGGCGCTGATGGTGCAGGTGCCGCAGGGCTGCAAGCCGGGCGATTACGTGGTGTTCAAGGAGCCTGGCGCTGGCGAGCAGGATTGGTGCCGCGCCCGCGTGCCAGAGGGCACGGCCCCTGGCGGCTATTTCGCGGCCCGCCTGCCCCCGCCGGGCGAGGCGAAGTCCAAGGCTGGGGCCAAGAACCCGAAGCTCTCCACCCGCGCCAAGGGCGCCTGAGCTCGGAGCGGCTCGTGAGCGGCCCCGCCCACTCCTCCGTCCTCCTCGTTCTCGTCCTCCTTGTCCAAGTCCTCGTCGTCATCCTCCCCTCTGACGCCACTGGGCTGGGAGCGTGGAAATTCGCGGGGGCCGCGCTGCGGCCCAAGAGCCTAGCGCGGCGATCGCCCCTCGCGCGCACGCCGCCTGTCGGCCGCCAGTGGCCGACAGGAATTTACTCTAGAGGCACTCGGCGCGCGCACGCAGCTCGTGTCCCGCGCTGCTGCGCAGAAGCGGCGCGCGCTCTTGGAGTGCCTTGGTGAACGAGTTTTGCCAATCTTCCGGACCGCTCCGAATATGAGCAGCAGCAGCAGCAAGAGGCGTCTGAGGAAGAGGGACATCGCGTAATGTGGAGGAGGGGCTGGATGTCCAGTGCCGTGGCGAGATGCGGATGACGAGATGTTTGCGGGAGGGGAGGAGCAGAGTGGCGAGGGGCAGCATGAGGAGAAGCAGCAGCTGGGCATATTGCACCCTCCTGCACAAGAAGTCCCCACCCGTTTCGTTGATGGGCCGTGGGCTAGTCCTTGGCTTCGGTGTTCTCGCTTCTGTCATCACCTGTTTTGTTTGAGCTGCAGTCCTTGCTGCTTCTCCTCCGGCTGTGTTGATCGTTTTGGTGCTGATGTTGCCCATCATCATCATCATCATCATCATCATCATCATCATCATCATCATCATCATCATCATCATCATCATCATCATCATCATCATCATCATCATCATCATCATCATCATCATCAACATCAACATCAACATCAACATCAACATCAACATCAACATCAGCATCCTCATCACCACCATCTCGTTATCATCCTCGTCGTCATCGTCATCATCATCAGGAGCAGCATCAGGATCATCACCCCCCATTAGAAATCCATCATCATCAGCAGTAGCATCTTGTCCATCGTTATCAGCAAACCCATCTCCATCGTATAGTAGCAAAGTGTCGTGAAGAGTGCTGACAGAGGAAGGGGGTGGTCGCATGGCGTTTTTGTTACTGTAGCTGGTGATATGTATGCAATAACAGTGCTCAAGCTTTAGAAGGGGTGCCCATCCAGATATGACCCGTTCCGCTTCAGTCTCGCCCTTTCCAGTGCCCGCCTGCCAATGCGATGTCGTACGCGTCCGTCGGCGACCCCGCCGATGTCGCCTCGTGGACCTTGGTCGAAGGAGAAGGGGCGGCCGAGATCTTCGCGACCACCGCGGCGGTGAAGATGGCGGCCGGTCACGATGACCAGTCTGCGCCGACCGCCAGGGTTGCCAACTTATTGTTTCCTGGCGCTATGCCCCGTCTCAACCTCTCCAGCGAGGTGGTGCTTGGAGCGTGGTCCCGCGTTCTCTTAGACTCGCAGATGCTGGGCGACATCGGCGTATTCGACGGGGCGGAGGACGGAAGTGGTGGTCCCCCGCCGTGTGCGAGGAGGCATGACAGACGATTTTGACAGCGACGTGGAGCGGATTGACGATCCGCAGTTGTTCGTGGGCTCACGGCTCAATAGCCAGCACTACCGTTTTGGTCATCGAGGAGGTTGCTTGTAGATTGTAGTCAGGTGCCGCCAGTCGTGGACCAATCCGCAGATTCCTTGCGAACCCTGGGTTCCGCGCTTGGCAGAGTGGCTGCTCCCCTAGGTACGGATCGGACTGAGCACGTGATGCCAGATGTGTTGCGGCTGATGGTCGACCATCTTGCACCGCCCTCATCATCGACGCGGGATATGGCTATCGCCATCGTATTGTCAGTTTCTCATTGTCTGGTCCCCCGAGCCGCAGCAAGTCACGGGCCGGTGGATCCCTTGGTCGTGGAGCTCGACCAGGGCCTCTCCCAGCAGGAGGTTGATGAGCGGCACCGGGCCTCTCGAGAGTGGGAGCCGCCCATCAGGCGACGCGTCGGGGAGTTGCAGGGCAGGGTTGCGGCTCTGACGGGGCTGGCTGACATCATGCTGTCGGAGCGCACCCTGCTGGGGCTGCCTGCCGCCAGGGCACAAGACGCCCGGGCGGCCCCTGCGAAGGACCCCCCCGCGATGCAGTCCGACGGAGGCGGGACCGCCGCGCGCCCCGAGCCTCCTCGCGGCGCCAGATATCGCGTCCGGGCCCCTTGATTTTTGGGGCCGCATCCCTCCCGGTGGGCCTCGCCATCCCGTTCGGAGAGCTACCTGGTCGGCAAGCTGGTCCCGTGCGGCGTTTCTCACCCTTCCCCCCTGGTGCTCTTCGGGCGGGGCAGGCGTGCGGGTGCCGTCCGGGGTCCAGGAGCATGTCCGCGCGTGGCACCGGTGCCGTTTCTCTGTCCGTGGGGCCCGCTGGCCGACAGCGCGACGCGTCTTCTCTGCCACCGCTGCCTGGGGACGATCGGTCCAGGAATCGTGTTGGCCGATGGGGGGCGCCAGCGTGGCCAACGCGGGGCTGCCTGGAGCCTGGAGGCGATGGACAGACCCCCCTTTAGCAAAACGTGGTTTAGTGAAAACGACCTGGGGCCCAAACCTGGAGGGCGCAAGCCTGGAAAAATGACGGCCGCGGCGCCCTCTCGAGAACCGAAAACGGACAATTCACTAATCGACGTGTCACTGTTGGGGGTTCTGTCCAGCCCCGAGGCGGTGGACCAACGACGGCACCTCGCCCACGAGCCACCGCAGCGCTCACGCAGCGTCGGCTGCGCGCCTCTTCCAGGTCTGGCAGCGTGCGCAGCGCAGCAGACAGCAATTGATCACGCGACTCAGTCGTGCCGTGACTTCGGACATCCTCCTGGCGATAGAGGATTCCCGTTTTGGCGAAGCGGCCTCGACAGAGCTGTTCGCGCCAGCGCCTGGGCATTCCGCGGACTCCCAGCGCATCTAGCCCAACAGCAAGGACCTCGTGTTCTGGCCTGAGACGTCGACTCCGCATGTGGCCGTCACCGCATTGGACGACCAGCCTGGTCGCGATTGCTTGTCGAGATGGCGACGGACCGCGCTCAAGTGTAGGTCAGATTCACCATTTCTGAGATCTTCCTCGGCTCCCCTGCACTTGTGCGTCGACCCGACTTGGCAAGCAGCCCGAGAACCCACGCTGGTCGCGTCGGGATGTTGCCCGAGGGCGGCATGATCAGTTTTCGCGTCGCCTGTGCGGCTTGTCCGCGCAGCTTGGTAATTTTCTTTGTCTGTGGAGAATTCGGGGCAAGCGCGATCCGACTTGTTTTCGATGCGAGGGTGGCGAACGAGAGTACCGAGTCGCCACCACAAACTACGCTGCCAGAGAGCGCTGCCCAGGCTGCCTGGGAGACCGAGCATCCTGCGGCGCTTGCACCGAGGGGGGCATTCAGCGCGCTGCCTACCACGTGTTTTTCCGACGGGTCTCCACCAGGTGTTCTTTATCCTTCCAACTATTTCGAATGCATGTTTCCGATCTTGATGGCTATCCTCTCTATTCCGGCAGCGCACTGCAACACATGGCCGGAGTTTCACCCGTGGGATGGAATTGGCCGATGCTGTTCTGCAGTAGCCTCATGCGGGGCGCTCCTGCGCGCAACTTCTTGCTACTCCGCAGTGCGCTGCAACAGTCGGGCACGACGACAACGTTGCCGTCGCCGGCATGGGCCCCGCGCTTGTCGCGGCCAAGCGGGACCAGGTGCAGGCCGCGCTTGAAGGCAGGGGGTTTGGCATTCCACTCGCTGGGTGAGACCGGCCCTTCCGCCTCCTTCATTGGACAGGAGGTCGACGGTCAGAGCGTGAATTACCTACCCCGCTTTCGCTTCCAGGCAAAACCAAGTCATACCACGCGCCTCCTCGTCAAGCGGCCTGACCAGTACAGGCCGCAGTTTGGCATCGTTTGGTATCTCTTGGAAGCGAGGGTGGTCAAAAGCGAGGTAGGTTTGTTTCCCCCTAAGACGGGGCCGTCGGCGCGGTCAGAGCGAGGCCGACCAGCATCACGAGGCAGAGGCAGCGCTGCTCGCCGCCCTGCGCCCCTGCGCCGCGGGGCGGCCTCCCCGCGCATGCAGCATCACGGTCTGGAAATAGACACCCTCTCCATCTTCTGCTCGGCCCGCGCGTTCATGGCTCTGAAGCTTCCTGGAGTCGGCCCCCACATGGGGCCCCATTGAGCTCGAGCTCTGATGCGAGGCTGGCACGGCCCCCCTTATGGACCTCTGAGATGGTACTCCTGCATCCCATTTGGGTCTCGCAGCCCTCGGCTTCGCACGCCTCGTCCACTGCATCGGCGTCTACTCTCGGGCACAATCTGGCTCGGGGGCGGCCAAAATCGGCGGGCAATCCGAGAAGTGGCGGCATCGGCGCACGGCTGGAATTCTGGCAAGGGCCAATGCGTCGGGGCCCATGGGGGCCCATGCCGGGTGGGGGGCGGCAGACGTGGGGAGCCAGGGCCCCGCGTGCTTCGTGGAGGCCTTCGAAGAGATCCTGGAGTCATCGTGCAGTCTAAGAATTGTGCCGCAGTGATCTCCCGGAGGCATCGGAATCGCCACAATCATTTGTTGCAACACGATGGGGAGGTCTGCGGGACGCCGTTCGCCGCGTGGTTTGGAACACACGCCGCCACCGCCCTCGGCATCTGCTACTGGTCGATCACCTTCCTCTGGGCTCTGGCTCTTGCAGCAGGCACAGGCCGAGGGCGGCGCCGAACCCTGCCCCGTCCTTTACGCCGACTGGCCTCCGCGCATGCGTGGCTTCGGGGTGTCCAGCTCTGGGGGATCGCCAGGCAGCTGCTCCTCGGCCCAGCCGAACACCACTCTGAGAGGCAGATCATTGACTCGATGCGGACCTCGGCGGCTTTGCGCTCCGTGGGTCTGGCTGGCCAGGAGCACACTGGTTGAGTCCAGTTCGCCCCCCGCCCGTGCTGCGCCGATTGTGGGGGCAACCGGACGGCGGACCTCGAGGGCGCCAGCATGTTGGCGCTCTTGATCGGTAATTTTGAGACGAAGGCTACCCTCAGCATCCCGCGGGCCTGTTTTCACCAAGCCGTCTTTTATTGTTGTGAGCATCCCAGGTCATCATTAGTCTGGACTTTGCCAGAGGGGGTTAGCTGTTAGCAGCAGCCAAATTCCACTCAAGTTGATCCCGACCTCTGTCGGTGCGGGGACGCCGCGCGCTCATCTACTCGGGTGCCTGGTTGGCATAGCCCCCAGGTTGCGATCAGTCGTGTATCTCTTCTCCTCTCTCTGTCACTCTCTCTTTGTAACTCTCGCTCTCACGTGTGCTCATGCTTGGGGCGACCCCATTTAGTTATTGACGCTCACGCCACGACGGGATCGAGCACCACGCGACTATCCAGCACGAGGCAAACGAGTACTTCTATGCCGCCGTCCGCTACGGAGTTGAGCACCTCGAGCGCGGCCACGATCAGATCCA